GCCAGTGGTTAAAGCCTCCAACAAAGCTCTGTAAGGACACACATTGTTACGAAAGTAATTTTTAAAAGAAATCTGATAGTGATTAGGTAAATATTGGGTCATGCTTCATTAGTTTGTTTACTGGTTCATTGTCTGAATGTTAGCCACTAGCAGGTGATGAGTAAAATAGAGACAGGCACTCATAGGTGACTATTCTTAAAGCTACATGTTCAAAGAGCAGAAATTATATTTTCTGTTGAAGCTGAACTGGGTCAATGCTGTTCATTATGGAAATTAATGAAATTAATGTTTCTCTTGCCAGCCTCCTTACTGTCTGCTGTATCTCAGTCTTTTAAGGCTGTAGGCCCAACTACAAAATAAACCAGTTCTCTATACTTTTGTCATAAATATGTGAAAAATATGACATTTTACTTCAATGTCTGGAACAAAGACCATACATTTTGATGAATTATTCAATAACAGATTTTCCTCCCTGTCTCCTCAGACTGAGTGGCTGTAACCTCTCAGAGAGAAGCTGTGAAGCTCTGTCCTCAGTTCTCAGCTCCCAGTCCTCCAGTCTCAGAGAACTGGACCTGAGTAACAACAACCTGCAAGATTCAGCAGTGAAGCTTCTCTCTGCTGGACTGAAGAGTCCAAACTGCAACCTGGAGACTCTCAGGTAAAATGTGACCAATCCTGGGGAAACCAGATTTCTGTCATTTACCTGCTTTCAAAGATGATGTAATTATTATTTGATATAATAATCGATGTCTGACTGTGACATGGTTAACCTGCTAAATCTCAACACATAATAATGGATAATTTTCTGTTCCTCCAAGCTGAAAGAATCATAAAGAAAATTAAGAAAAGTGGAGGTCAGGCTTCCACTGATAGTGTAACTCTGGATTATTGACAGAACAAAGGAGATTATTGCAGATCTTTCCAATCAGAAGTTGTCAGACTTTCTCAACCATCGAAAGGGAAATGTTGATTTTTATTATCTACAAAAGGAAATACAGTTTTATTAATATTTCAAAGTATTAACAGTTTAAGCTCCAGTTTCTTGTGTGTTTTCCTCTTGTGAAAATGTCCAATTCAGACCTTGGGCTCTACCTCAACGCAGCGGCGTCGGATTCATTTTTGAGGTATTGGGGCCATGGGGTGTTTCGTCACCTCTGTTACGCACTTTGAATGTCAGGCTCTTGTTCAATTGATATGATGGCTCCTGTCAATCAATTCAGTGGGTTTGTTTCGGGACAAATTGCGTTGTCCTACCATGAGCTGCAGTCATAGAAAAATGGGCCCCTGGTCCCCCCTATTCTGGCACCTATGGCTCAATGTTCTCATCTTCTCATCATGTGATGAATTGTGTGTCTGCAGCTTATCAGGCTGTTTGGTCTCAGAGGAAGGCTGTGCTTCTCTGGCCTCAGCTCTGACCTTTAACCCCTCCCATCTGAAAGAGTTGGACCTAAGCTACAATCATCCAGGAGACTCAGGAGTGAAGCTGCTGTCGGCTGGACTGAAGGATCCAGACTGGAGACTGGAAGCTCTCAGGTATGCAGGAAACTGCTGCAGGAGCAGAGAAGGTCTGATAG